TTACATTAGAATTTTTAAAAAAAATTAAAACAATAAAAAACTTTTTTTCTGTTGTTTATTTTATAAAAAAAAGTCATCGACGGTCAAATCCAATGATGGAAGGAATCCTTTTACTTCTTTTTTTATTTTTTTAAAAAAATATTTAAAAGGATTTTTAAAATCCAGGTGGCACACGGATAAGTTTTCACCACCGTAATGTCATATCCCATATCTCTTTCTTACTTTTTTTTTTTTTTTTTTAAATTCTTTTATTGAAAGAAATAACAAAAGAACATCCAAAAAAAAAATGAAATTGACACGGGAAGTGTGAACAAAACTTTTTTCTATCTCTCTTTCAACTTCCCCACCTCCCCCTCCCCCTGCTCCCTTGCTCCCCCGATTCGAAATATAAAAAGGAAATTGATGGATTTCGTAGAGCAAGCAAAAAAAATGCTCATAACGTTAAAATCAATTATTATAATTATTATTATTTGTATCGATGGTAATTGTAAAAAATGATGATAATGATGACAGTTTTTAATATTTAAAAAAAAAAAAAAGGCGAAGATTTTAACCATCCATCTGTCGTCGTCTGCTACTTTAAATATTATTTAGGACAAATCACGAATATTAATAATAATAATAATAATAATAATAAACAAGACAGTTTGCATGTTTTTTTTTTTAAAATTGAAATACAAAAAAAAAAAATAAAGGGAAACATTGTTATTATTATTATTATTGTTACTCCCCCACTTAAAAAATTTAACGGTTTTTAATTTTTTATTTTATTGCTTTCTTTCTTTTTTTAAAAAAAAAAAAAATTTTTTTTTCCTTCTGCTCTATTATTATTATTTATTTATTTATTTATTTTTATTTATTTAAAGAAAAAAAACTAAACTATTTTAACATTTAATTTATTTAAATATTTTTATTATTTTTTTAAAAACAATTTTTAAAAAATAAAAAAATGAACGGTAGCAAAAAAAATGTGTGTGCGTGCGTGCGTGCGTGTGGTTATAAATAGATAAACTATATAAGGGATAGTGTAAAGAAAAAAATTTTTATTCGAGTTAATATTCATTAATTTCTCTTTCCTTTTTTTTTTGCTGCCGTCAAGATAATTAATTCATGACACCGTGTCAAAAAAATAAATGGAAAATTATACAATAGCAAATATATATCATTTATCTTTCCAAATTAAAAATTTAATTAAATTAAAAAAATTTTTTTATTTATTTATTTGCACAAAAAAAACTCAGTAAATAATAGCAAAAAAAAATAAGCAAATTTATTCGTTTTCAATTTTAATTTTTTTTCTTTTCTTTAACCGCGTTTTTTTTTTAAATCATAAATTTATTTGCTATTAATAAAAAAAAAAAAAATTACGTACGCGACAATATCGGATCGATAAAGGGTAGCAAAAAAAACGAAATTAATTTATAAATAATTTTCGTATTATTAATAACGTTTTTTTTTCGAAAACTTAATTAATAAAAAAATTTATTCAAAAAAAATTTTTTTTTTTTTTCGGAAAAGAAAACGCGATCGAAAAAATATTATTATTATTTATTTTCCTTTTGCTCTCGTTAAATTTGCTTTATTTTTTTAATAGATTCATTTTTTATTTTTTTTAATGTTGGTAACAGTGTCGGTTCCGAGATTTAATAATATCAATTAATTTATTTTAAACAAAATTAAAATTCAGGTACGAGATTA